CCTGTTTTTAAGGCAAAAATTAGTAGCACATCCTGCTAAATAATTGAATGTTCATGTTGGCAGGGCACTTGGCTCATGTACCTCAGGCTCACTGTGCCGCAGATTGTAACAGGAATCCCTTGCCTTGCCTTGGGAGACTTCACATTTTAACTAAAATGTACTCAAACAAGAGACCTCAAGAGTTTAGCTAGCGTTTTCCTGAACAAGATAGGGAAATTCTTAAAAGCCTGGGGGGACAGTACAATCTGACAGTGTTGTTGGTTGGACTGAGTGTCTGCCACTCCACTCCCAGTTAGTGCTTGGGGTTTCTTGTCTAGCAGACTCGAAACCCAGACTCCCTTGAGATCCGTAAGTGAAAACGGTCTGTGTCCTTCTGGGAGAGCTGTTGGCAGAGTGGATGGGTGTGTGCTGGCCTCACTGGGCTTGGGGTGCTGGTATCTCCTAGAGGTGATTTATAGATCCTTCCTGGCCTGGGCAAAGAATTGGTCAGGACAAGCAAAAATGCTAATAAGGCTTTGCATTTATTAGAGGAAGGAAAAATAGACTCTGCAGAGTGAATTTGGGTCAGGTAAATGTAGGGGGAAGAAGTTAACCTTTTTAGCATGAGGACGGGGTATTGTTTTTTTTATATTATTTTTTTTGAAAGATAAGCCAGTATTTATTTTTATTTATTTATTTATTTTTGTGTGTGTGGCCAGCTCAGCCCACCAGGGGGCGGGGCTGGCTGGCATGTGGTGCTGGGGATTGAACTGCGGTCCTTGTGCTTTGCTTAGCTTGTTCTAAGTAGGTGCTTTAGACCACTGAGCCATCTCACCAGCCCGAGGATGGGGTATTGTGAAGGGACACAGTAGTGAGAGTTCAGTGGCAGCTGTTCTGGGTCATCCTATCAGAAACTTGGTGAAATTCTTGCCAGAAGTCCAAGAGCAGAGCTTTGGGACGTGTTCTGTGCATGTGTCGCAGGATTTTGTGACAAGCGGGTCACACTTACTTTCCCCCAGCTTCCGCTGCCTCCTAGCCTTCGTCTCATTTCCCCCAAGCTACACCTATCCGCATAATTCTTTATGAAGTCCTGGGGGAGGGGAGGCTCCGTCTTCATACAGCTACTTCCTCTAGAAGGGGCAGGAGGCCCTGCCTGTGGGGATCATGAGCTCTGTGCCTACCTCGGGGTATTATGGCTCACCGACTGGGTTGAAGGTTGAAAAATAAAACTGTTAGAAGACAAAGAGAAAAGCGTAACTTTGCGTTATCTGTTTCATGGGAAGAAGAAACTAACTTCACTATTAGGTTGGGGATGCAGAGTCCAAATAAGAGGAGCAGGTCAGAGTTGTGCACTTCCTGTGGAGAAGAAAGTATGGCAAGAGGGATGTCACCTGCCGTAGCCAGGGTCCATTTACTTAACTGCACTCAGGGCAGTACAGAAGTCATGTATTCTGAAGAGAAAGCTCAGGTATTCCAGAAGGTCATAGAAATAGCCTTTTCCCTTTGGGTGATTTCTCTCCCCCTCTCTCTGTCTCTCTGTCTCTCTCTTTCTCTGTGTCTCTCTTACTCGCTCGCTCGTTCTTGCTCTCTTTGAAGACAGTGGTTATGGCAAGGATCACTGAGAAGGGACCCTTCCATTCTGGTTTTTGTTGGTCTGTGGGAGCTCCTTCTCTCTAAGTTTTAACGAACACTTTCTCTGCAGGGCAGACACTAGGGGGTCACCGTGGGCCAGGAGCTGGCAGGACTGTGTTCCTGTACAGTTGCATAGCCTTTTGTACTTGGCCTAGAGTGATAAGATATTGTAAGAATCTCCTGATTCTGGGTCTGCCATCGCATCAGAAGATGACAAGGGCGCCCATGTATCATCTCAAATGGATTCACATTTAGCCCAGTTTTGGAGGTTTTTCAAACCCTTCTGAGGGTTGTCATTAGTAATCAAAGCCAATGCTCGGGCCTGTCTTGGCAGAGACTTACCAGAGCTCACTTTAAGGTCTGGTTGACTCTCTTAACATTTCTAGAAGACTGAGGTCTGCATGGAAAATGGAGATGGTACTTTGAGTTATCTGACAGGTAAAAGAAGGACCATTGACACTGTGAAAGGATGCAGGTAATCCAAACTGGGGAATGATTTCTTTGAGGTGCCTCTTGGTCACCACTGTACCCTTCTCTGAATGGGTGGGGCAGGCTGCAGTCCAACGTGTAAAGGTGCCAGTTTGGATGCGTATCTGTTCAAGTCCCTCACGTGGTAGGGTGTAAGTAAAGTCTAATTGCCCACCCTCTCCATCGTATGTCCCTCGGTACAGGAGAGGTGGTTGGGGCTGGCCAGGGTTATCTTATTAGCAGCACTTTCCACAGTTGATGTACGTTGTCAGGGACCCCTGCAGTGAGTCCCCAATCTCCTGCCTGTGTCATGTGTATGGTCAGAAAGAAAAAGGCAAAACACAAAATCTGTGGTGAAAAAAGGGTGTATAGGATGACCAGTGGTTCTCTTGGAACAAAAGGCCAGGAGTCAGAGTGGCCATGGCTTTTGGTGTTTGCGATAACGATAAACAAACGTAGGGTAAAGGTCATGACTGAGTGCTCAGGAATGATGGCTCCTGCAGGCATGGCCCGTGAAGGAGAACAAAGCATTCTTGCGCCAAGCTCGAGGCTCCTCACTTAGATAGTGGTTTAACAAACAAGTTGATGTTTGGAGAAGGAGCTGGAAGGTATTCTTCATTTCAGAGTCTCATGGCCTCAGGAGAGACATTGTCTCATATCCCTGAGATTTCTCAGGCTCTGCTTGAGCCTCCTTTCCAGCTTGGGGGGAGGGGGCTTCTGGCCCCCAGGCTGCTGCTTTGCTTCAGTGAGATGTGTTGGTGCCTTGGCTGGGCTTGGTCACATTCTTTTTAGCCAGTTAAAGGAACACTTACCTCTGCAAAGCCAGCTTTGCTCATAAGGTGAGCAGGACAAAGATGAGAACTAAACAGAATGGGGCAGTGTGCTTCATTTCTTAGGGGAACATGGCTTGATGGCCCCCACATTATCGTAGGCAGATTGGGCAAGCTTTGCAGACTTGCTGGGTGGCTGTTGCTCATCCTAGCCTTTTAAGACTTCGCGTGACCATTTCCCATGTAGCATCTCTTTCCCTGTGGAAAGACTCATGAGGACTTGGATAGCCTTCTGCTGTGTCCCTTGAGGAAGGGCCAGTTCGTTTTCTAAGTACATTGACCCTTTTTAATTCTCCTTTGACCTAAGGCTCATTTATCTTCTTGGGGACTGTAAGCTGGTTTCTGTGGTTGCTCAGGAATTAGGAATAAGGCTAGGGTCTTGAGGGGTTGTAAGACTGCCCTTTTTGCTTTGTTATCAGCCTTTTAATTTCCCAGAGAGACTTTAGATATGCGTATGATTGGAAAGCACTACGGTGACCTGCTTGGGAAGACAAAATGCCTTCGGAGTTGTAGAGTTTCCTGTTTATGCTCTATAAGTGATTACTTATTAGCTAGCAAGCCCCTTTCTTTCCAGATTGCTGCAGATGCATTAGCACCAGAAAATACATATTGGAGTCTGTATAGATATTTATTAGTTATTATTATTATTATTTTAAATTTGTGTATTTGGTGTAGGGTCTCACTATGCAGATTGGACTCGTAGTGATCCTCCTGTATTCAGCCTCTCCAGCACTGGGGGTATAGGCATGTTCCACCATGCCCGGACTCTGTCCCAGGCTCAGTGTGCCCAGGGGCAGGGCCCACACGGCAGGCAGGAATCAAACCCTGGTCCCTGCACTTACCAAAGCAAGTGTTTTATCTGCTGAGCTATCTCGCCAGCCCAATAACATGGTGGGCTAACTTTTTTTTTTTTTTTGTATAGATATTTAGTTTTTTGCCTTTACCTAATATCAGTGCCCAGGCAGAGCTATTAGCTCTGCCTTTGGAGCAGAGGTTCCTGGCTGAAGGGGTTGGCCTCCTGATGCGCTGTGAGTGTCAGCTACATAAGCCTTCTTGGCCAACCATGTCTCCCAAGGGTTCGGGAAGGGCATATTTCTGATACCCTGCGTGCTTGCCTGTCCAGGAGATCACTTATTCTCCTAACTTCAGGCAAGGGATACAGTTCAGCAGCACAGGGCCTGCCTGGCAAATACAAGGTCCTGAGTGCAGTTCCTGGTACCCCAAAGGAAAAAAAAAAGTAGCTAACTTCTTAGCCTATAGGCATCAAAAGAGGCAGGATTGAGTAGTACAAGTTTTTCTAATAACCTCGGGAGCATCTAAGAGCATAGCCTGATGTTTGGAAAGAAAACCTATTAATGCTCAGTTTTCTAGAAAAAGTAGTTTAATCATTGGGAAGAAGGCCAGTTAGGGAAATGAGCATCATCTTAGTGTCTATCTCACTTGAAGGTATGTTGAAATATTGTTTATAGTTATTCTCTTTTTTATTTGTTTTTTTTGAGACAAGGCCTCACTATGCACTTCAGGCTGGCCTCGAACTCCCTGCGATCCAGTGCTGGGATCACAGGCATGCACCATCATACCCGGCTTGGAAAGTGTATATAGAAACAAGACGCTGAGCTCTTTGAAGGGAGGTCTTTTTATAGCTGGATTCTAAGACAGTAATTGCAGAGCTTCAGTGTAAACAAGTATTTGTCCCTTTATGTGTACTGTGGGCAAATTTAAATGATTGGGACTTTGTCTTTTCTTTACAGCTTTTGGCTGATGCCTGCCTTTATGCTCAAAAAAATAGTTCTTGGAAACTTCTCATCTGGCCCAGTGGACCCTGTGATGGCTGATGCCATTGACTTCATGGTGGACAGGGTAAGGGCTGTGGCACGGGGTGGGGACACCTTGTGCTGGGGATGTGCGCAGCTCTGGGCTCCTCCTGAGTGTCTGCTAGAGATCTTTGTCAGGCGATCCGCCTCCACAGAGGTGCTGCTGCTGGCCAGGGCTTGGTCTACCTCAGTGCTTCCCAGTAGCTGTTTGTAAGATCCCACAGGAAGTCTTCAAAAGTACAGCTTTCAAGCTGGAGATGGTGACACACACCTGTAATCGCAGCCCTCTGTGAGGCTGAGGCAGGAGGATTACAGGTTGGAGCCCTGTCTCAGAAGGGAAGAGGGCTGGAGCTCGGAGCAGAGGCCCTGGGTTCAGTCCGCAGTGCTGCACACCGAGAGCAGGTGCCAGGGTGACTGTAGGTAATAACATGCTGTGCATTTCAGAAAGCTGCAAAGCCAGATGTGGTGCCCAGCTGTAATCCCAGTAGTCAGGATGCTGAGGAGGAGGATCGTTAGGAGTTTGAGGCCCGCCTGGGTCACGTAATGATTTAAAAGGCTGCCTGAACTACACAGTGAGACCCTGTGTCAACAACAACAAAAAAAAAACTAGATTTTTGGAAGGTTTTTTTTTATTATTATAAACCTTACAAAGTATGTACATATATACAAACAATGCATATTATCCCATTAATATATACAATACTTAATGCTTTTACATGATAGTTAATTTAGTTATAAAAAATGAAACAGGTGCAATAGAACAGGTTTATAATCCCACTTACTTGGGAGACTGAAGCAAGAGGATTCTAGGTTTTGTTTTGTTTTGTTTTTTGAGATAGGGTAATGCTATATAGTTCAGGTTGATCTTAAACTCTATATATCGCAGGCTACTCTCAAATTCATGGTCATCCTTCTGCCTCAGCCTCCCGATTGCTGGGATTAGGGGCATGTAGCACTGTGCCCTGGAACTAGAGGATTCTGAATTTAAGGTCATCCTGGGGGCAATTTAGAAGACAGACCTCATCTCAGAAAACTTATTCCAAGGCTTCAGACCAGACAGGCCATCTGCAGTTCTTGGGCTCGGGGCGTGGGAATGTAGGTTTTTCCGTCATCCCCTCCACTTCCTCTCAGATACATCTGCCAACTCAAAGTGTGTATTTAGGAGCTCAGGGCAGGACACTGCCGAGGTTTCTTCAGCCTCCAGCCTCCAACGTGCACGAATTGGCTGGCTGCACGTGGGCCCCTGGGCTGAAGCAGGCCAGTTAGATTGAGGTCCTGAAACTAGGAAAGGGCTGCGGGGCCCATTTCAGTCTTTGAAATAGTTTCCTCCCTTTTCACTTTTCTGGCCCCACCACATACAGTAGCACTTTTATAAGCCAAATGGTGTCTGTGGGTGTAATGTAACCATAAAAAGAAAATATTTTTAAAATCTTAACATGTATTCCTGTTTGCAGCTGGAAAGTCTGGGTCAGAGCGAACTGGCTTCAAGACTGACCCTGAATTGTCAAAATTCTTACGTGGAACCTCATAAAATCCGGGACATTCCTGTAACCATTATGGATGTAAGTGAGCTTCCTTTGCAATCCCATAGATGCTTCACCTTTCTAGATACACGTGTCAAGGTATAATTGCTTTATAACCTGAAATGTGCTTCTTCACATGCTACTGGGCTTTTGTTTTTACCCCCAGCTTCCTCAGTTCCAAAATAGTGGCTTTATCGCTTCTCCCGACAGCTATAATACCACCGCTGAAATACACTTCGGGCTGAACATGTAGCTCAGGGATAGGGCACTCGCTTAGCGTGTAAAAGGTCCTGGTACGCTTAATCCGTGTTAGTGCGGTTCTGCTTTCGCATCAGCAGACATCATTCTTTAGCTGTCACATATCTGGGCAGCAAAGAGAAGATGCCTCTTGAGGCAGAGAATGAGGAGCTGTGTAGCGTCCAGTTGGCCCAAAACCTTGTCTTGAAGAAATTCTAGTAAAATACCTGAATAAGAGATTTTCCGCTGCAACCACCTCTGAATCTCCAGTTCAGCGACATCAGGTGTGTTCACAGCATCATGCAGCCATCGAATGACCCCGTTTCCAGAGTTTCCATCTTTGCACACTCTAGATCCATCCAGTAGTTGCTCCCTGGCCCTCTTCCCTGTTGCCTGGCAACCAGCAATCTAATATCTGTCTCCATGGGTCTGCTGATTCCAGGAACATCAAATAAGTGGATTCTTTTTTTTTTTTTTTTAAATTTTAGGACAGGGTCCACAAGGTCTCAAGCGTAGATTGGACTCATAGTGATCCTCCTATTTACAACCTCCCAAGTGCTGGGATTACAGGCATGCGCCATCACACCCAACCTGAATCATGCCTCAGCATGCCCTGGAGTGGGGCTGGGGCCGGCACAGCAGGCCCAGGGGTTGAACTTCCGGCCCCTGCATCTGCCTAAGTAGGCGCTTTAATCCACTGAACTATTTGGCCGGCCCAATAAGTGGATTCTTGCTGTATTTATCCCTTGGTGTGTGGCCTGTCTCACCTAGTACAGCATGTTTAAGATTCGTTGATGTTGTCATGTGTCCATACAGCTCCTTTAGGGCTGCATAATTCCATGTCCATGTTCCACCTTTTGTTTATGCGTGCATCTGCCAGTGGTCATCCGGGTTGTTTCCAGCTTTTGCCCAAGATGAATTCTCCTGTAATGCTAGTGTAAGAGTGTCCGCCTTCCTACTGCTAATTCCTGGGGTACATACCCGTGACTGGAATTGCTGGGTCCCTGGTAACTCTTTCACTTTTTGAGGAGTTGCCATATTGGTTTCCACAGTGACTGTCATTTTGGAAGAGCTTCCAGGATCTCCACATTGTGCCCAGTGCTCGCAGTAGCCCTCCTCGTGGGTGGGAAGCACGTACTCATTGTGGTTTTTATTCTTTGTTGGTGCTGAGGATCAAACCCAGGGCCTTGAGCATGGAGAGCACGTGCTGTACTGCTCAGTTATGCCCCCAGCTTTGACTTAGCTCACTTCATAATTAGTTTATTTTAATTTTAAAATTTATTTATTTATTTATTTGGTACAGGGTCTCATTACACAGCTTGAACTCATAGTGATCCTCCTGTCTCAGCCTCCCCAGTCCTGGGATTACAGGTGTGCACTGCCACATAGTTTCTGTGGCCAGCAAGGCATGCCCAGGGCTCTGGGGCCAGCTTGGCACTGGGGGTCGAACTTGGGTCCTTGTGCTTGCCAAGCAGGTGCTTAGACCACTGAGCTATCTGCCCAGCCCTAAATTGGTTTATTCTTAAACTCAAATGTATTTTTTTGGTCAGGAAATGGTCCATCACAAGCAAAATTTATATGCACACTGTGAAGTATATCCAGAATTTCATAGGATTCAGAAGGACTGAGACTTTTTTTTCACTGAGCATAAATGACTCATGTAATTGTTTTTTGGTTTTGGTTTTGGTTTTTTTTTGGCTAATGAACCATTCGAGATTTCATGATCTTTTCTGAAATAGGCATTTTCAGTAATGATTATTCGCTACTAAATAGTCTATTAACTAAATACATTTGAGAATGTCTGTGTCAGCCCAGCCTGGGCCGCATAGGCACTTAGCAGAACCTGTCTTAGAGTAAAGAGGGACTGGTGGTGTAGCTCATGGTAAGGACCCTGGGTTCATTTTCCAATACCAGGAAAAAGCAACAAAACCAAAAAAGAATGCAGGAGGCATTTTGCAGCAAAAACTTGTCGCTAGGATCTTCAGTTGGAGTAAGCAGGGCTGAGGGACCAGCACCGGTGGTGGCTCAGGCTGCTCTGGGGCTCAGCATTGTCCCTTCTTCATGAGAACAGGGCTCTTGGTGCAGCACTTTCCAGTCAATTTCAGCTTGATTATTTGTTGAAGGTGTTTGACCAGAGCGCACTTTCAACCGAAGCTAAAGAAGAAATGTACAAACTGTACCCTAATGCCCAGAGAGCACACCTCAAATCAGGGAGCAACTTTCCCTACCTGTGCAGAAGCGCAGAGGTGAACCTGTATGTCCAGGTAAGTACCACTGGGAACGGAAAGCTGTTTGGGTTTCTTCTCTGATGGCTGATTAAGAAGGAAATGACAGAATTGTCTGCAGAACAGGCACTGAGTTGATGTGGTTTACTTTTTTTTTTAAAGGACAGTTATAGGATGCGCTCAAGGCCAAGGCACCGGTGCTCAGGGAACTGGGGCACGACGCTGGTGGGACCGGGGCTCTGCCGGGTTTTGGGTGGTGGAAATCTGGACTTTGGTTGTCTGTCTGTGGTCTTGGCTAGTGAGTGGGAGGGGATGGCCCAGCCGTGCTGAGATAAAGGGGATTCATGCTTAGGTGCATCCATAAGTAAAAAGGGAATGGGAAGAACCCATTTTTAGGTCAAAGGGAGTTGCCCACATTTGCCGTGGCTTGGGAGGAAAACCGCTTGTGTCCTGAAGCTGCAGTTTTTCTTAAAAGTACACTTTTCAAATCTTGATTTCCTTGTTTCAAGTCGGTTGGAGCCTCTTGTATTGCATGCTTGTATGTGCAGGAGTTCAGCCTCTTGGGGGTCGTCCGTAGTCTCTGACTGCTGGAAGACAAAGAAAAAGACCCTACAGCTGTGGAAGAGGGGAGAGAGAGAGACAGAGACAGAGACAGGGGGAGAGAGGGAGAGAGAGGAGAGACAGACAGACAGACACAGAGATACTGTGCTTCAGAGAAAAACTGAAGTTTGAGAGGGCCAAAGGCATTGGGGGAAAATAAGAGACTGAAGTCACTCTCTGTGTTGTGTCTTCTGACCCTTTGTGGTTGCCAAGAGAGATATCTCGGGGCTGGGTCTAAGAGTCCTCAAGGCTGACGGAACTTAACCCATCTTTCAAATAAGTGTGCGGTTTCACTGATTCCTGTTGTGGGGATGCACAGGAGTGGAGCCCCAGTGCTCAGAGGAACGAGGCAGCTCCATTTCAGATTTCTAGGAGACCTCAAACAGCTGTCTTACCTGGGACCCACATGCGACTCTGCCCTCCCACCACCCACCGCTTCCTCATCCTCTGCCTAGGTATCAGGAGAGCAGTGACAAGTGATTGATTTGGGTCCGTTTGGCAAAAGCCAGTCGTGTCACCCGAACCTTTCATCCACTTGTGGAAGTAGGTCCCAAGGAGGAAGGTAGAAGAACAGACCCCCAGACACACTTATCCTGGCATGTGGCGGAAGTGCAGAGGTGGAAGGGAGGGTCCAGCCTCTGGCGGGGCAGCCTGCCAAGGGTAGTACCAAGGAGCGCTGGTAACAGAGAAGGCAGCTTGGGACCAAAGATCCTGCCTTGGGGATCTTGAAAATGTTTCTTTGACTTTCTGTGTTTACCAGTTATTCTCTAATTAGCCTATTCTAGGCTGATTTTAGAGGGAAACATTTATGTACCACAGTGGCGCTTTCCTGCAACTCCCCATGGAAGACGACATGCATTCCGTTCTCTACTGTACCCAATCGGTATTATTCAGGCTTGTTACAGTGCTACAAGCCTGTCATCCCAGCTGCGCCAGAAGCTGAGGCAGGAAAGTTGCAAGCTGGAGGCTGTTCTTGGCCTCTAAACAGTCTGGGGCATAGCTCGGTGATAGAATGCCTGCCTAGCATATTTAGGAGCCTGGGTTCGATCCCTAACGCTAAATAGAACTCCTGTTTGTACAATGATCAGAATGACTTTGCATCGCTACAGATACATTTGCTGCAATTCCATGGAACCAAATATGCCGCCATTGACCCGTCCATGGTCAGTGCCGAGGAGCTGGAGGTGCAGAAGGGCAACCTCAGCCTCAGCCAGGAGGAGCAGTAGACGTGGCCGTCACTGTGGATGAGGCGACCCAGCGCGCTTGTGTACAATCAGTGATGTCAGCGTCCACCGCCTCAGGGCAGCTGACTCTCACTGTGCTTTGAAGTGGGACTGATTGTCACCTTCCAGACGGGTGGCAGCGCTTCCGCCAGTGTGCCAGCTCCCACTTCGGTTTTTTTAGCTTTTCAATTTGAAGAACTTTTGAAGTCTCATTTTAAGAAGAGTGAAAATTTTGCTACCAGAAGTCTTCACTACTGTATTACTTGAATGTTAATTTCTGAGATTTGGGGATTTTTTTTCTTTTCCTGTCTTCTTTCTTGCTTTTTATGTTATTTACTATAAATGCCACACATCAAGATCATGTATCAGAAGGACATGAGTTATTTTTGTGCTTTGGGGGCATAAGCATTGACTCAGTGCATCTCAACTACTCTTCATTTCCAGTGAAGCGCACTGTTTTGACTGTCAGCAGTTGTCTTTCTAGACGTTACAGTAGTTTGGAATAAAAATTCAATTTCAGCGAGTGGCCTTTGTAATTATTGCTGCACATGAGGTGCACTGATTAGGTTTTGTGCCAGTTCTGCGTGGCTTTGGGTAAGTCACTTCATCTAAATTGAAGTTTTCTTTTTTTAAAACTTTTTTTTTTTTAAGTTTATTTTATTTATTTATTGTGTGTGTGTGGCCAGCTCAG